ACTGACTTACTAAGATTAACAAGTCTTCCTCCGTTAGGCTTCTTTCAGTCTCCTTACTCCGGTCTAAGAGGGGAGCAGTTGTCGTGACTAGCTCGCGTCGAAGCGAACTTTACCAAAGCTCCCTGCCGCTGTTCTCGATTTCTTAGAACAGCCCATCACAGATGCTGCAAACCTGGCTCCTGGCCCGGCAACGTTCCACGCCTGCACGCCTAGGCCAACGCAGTCTGTCTGGCCAAAAAAATCCAAGACCGACCCAAACAATGAATACTCTCGTCGGCCGCTGTGAGGCCTGCTGCTAAGACATCACTTAGGATCCGGCTTGGCTCCTGGCTGGTCGTGCGCTCTGAAGTCAAACCTTTTCCTGCTTATTCTCTGTTCCCCTTTATGCAGAATAAACCATTCCTGCTATTCTGGCCTCCGCCGACCTCTCCATCTCCTAAGGAACCATGGTCTGAAAATCGCAGTTGCTAGGGTTTAACTGACTTAACCCTCTGCGAAAGATCTACTAGCCCTCGTAGGAGTATTTTGGGGCCAGTGAATTGAGCTCCAAGAGACGGGAGAAGGATCATGCCCTGCAAGGCGATAGGTCAATTTTCTTTTCAACGAGGCCAAGCGGTACGCAGTCCAAACTGAAGCCGAATACATCTTTTAGTTTAAAAATCTAGCGTTGTTCATGATGTGAAAAAGATCTCTCAAACGTGTTCATCTATTTTTCTTGGCCATGCGGTCAAAAAGGCTCTATAAGCTCGGGTGTTTCCGTTGAGACGAAAGCCTGGATTTATTCAAGTGTCCAATATTGACTTGTGAATCATAAAACACATATACACATCATCAGTGGTGATTTAGAACGCGGAGTTAATGAACACATACTCAATATTTATCGGCCGTTAATCCAATAGAAGACTTTCTTGTTCCGTAGACACACGAAATTAATGTAGTCCTTTGTTATCAAAAGTTTCGACGGTAATCTAACGTTTGTCTAAGAGTATTCGCCATCATGTGGTTCACACAAGATGTACACTTAAAACTTACATACATGACAAGATATTTTGAAATGAATTTGTTTGCATTGACACACAATCAAATAAGAACCATCAAACAATATTTTAAATTAATTTGCTTAATCAAGAGAGATTCAGCATGCATTAAATTGTATCCGTATGACACAAACCTGATAGAAATTGATCTAAAACGCAATCCCTTTTAGCAGCAGAGTATATGTCAGCATCCCTTAGGGGAACAAAAAGTGTCTTAATTTATACCGAATTTCGTTTGAAAAAGCTCTTAAAACTTCGTTTTTATGTACAGAGTAGACAGAGTAATAGTTAAAGATACGTCATATAAGCAGACCCTGCCAGCAAATGCCCAAAACTGGGCGGGGATGACGATGTAGGGATCCAGGTGTATCCAAAGTTTACGGCGTATGTGTTATTCCGCAACCCGAAAATTCCAGAATGCTGTAAACAATCCTAGAAGGTAATCTAACTCATTTTTTGTTTATTTTGAACTTATAATACGTTTTAAGTGACATTTGTTATTATTTTTACGGATAATTTGATAATATGCATACCTTCCCAGAATTTCGACGGGAGGATCCGGAGGTGAGGACGGGGGGGTGGACGGAGTTTTCAACCCGGATATTCCCGTCCCCCTCGCCAGCACACGCCCGAAACTGGGCGGAGATGACGAAGGGGGGATCCGGGCGTATCCAAATTTGGTGGTTAAGGCGTATGTATTATTCCGCAACCCGAAATTTCCATAATGCTGTAGATGGGCCTTAAAGGCAATGCAACTGATTTTTTGACTATTTTCGAACTGGTAGTGCGTTAAAGGTGATATTTGATATTATTTTTACGGATAATTTGATAATATGCATACCCTCTCCGGAATTTCGACGTGAAGATCCGGGGGTGACGACGGGTTGAGGACGGGGATATGCGGGTTGAATACCCTGTCCTCATCCCCGTCGAATCCCTGTCATCACCCCGGGTAACCCCCTTCTCAACGAGATTTCAACGGGGGCATCCGGGGATTTTGCTGACAGGTATGTATTTTAAAGAAGGCCAAAGTGATTCTTCCTTAGGACCAAAAAAATCGGATACTATATCTTAACATGTCATGACTGTCCAGGTTGTTTTCAGAAATAAGAGTTGGATTCAGATGAAAACAGTTTGACTTGCCTGTTCGCAGTGCCTTTCATTATCCAACTCAGAACGAATCTTAATCGGTGTTCTGCATTGCATTTCCGAAGCTGGCAATTTTTTTATTGCCGTCACGCTTACTATGCAGGGGCTTTGGATATGAGCGAATAAGGAAACTACTATCTGACGAGCTTCAAAGGAAGTCGTTCCTGAGAACTTTCCATTTGCATGAAGACACTTTGTTAACAGTTAAGGTGGTCGTCAACCATAGACACCCCTCTCCCCAGATTGACCTCGTTGGAGGACCGATGATATTAATTAAGGTTTTTGTTTATTATTACGTTTTTTTATTTTAATTTTAGGTTTATTTTAGTCAAGTTTTTCTTTTAGTTAGTTTTGTTAAGTTGAGCTTAGTTTAGTTACTTAAGTTTAGCATACAGCGGTTAATCAAGAAAATTCATCTATTTTTGGTCGTATCCAAAGTGTCTAAAAACTAGATCTAAAATATAAACTTATAAATTAAATAGAAAATTAACTAAGAAGTTAACTAATATTAATAAAATTAAAGCAACCACAAGACTATGGTCTACAGGAATAAAAGGCGAGTGGTCAGCTTAATTACTACCGACGCTTGTCACTGGAACATTGATGATCTGAGCAAGGAAAACCAAAGCGATGTACAAGCAAACTAGAGAACAACCTCCTTCGTCCTTTGAGGCCATAGTTTATCAACTTTAATCTTTTTATATTTCCTTTTCTTTCTATTGCCCTGACTCTAGACTCTTTATTACACCCAATCCTGTATTAAACAAGGACAGGGCTCTCGCGTGCTGATCTGGGACTTGAACTAGGATTATACCGAAGTTTGGTTGCAGTGCGCCCATAATGACGTAAGCAGCATTGGCAAGGTACCCAATTGGTCTGATTCTGTGACGCCCCTCAAGGTCGTATAAGTTAATCCATATAAACAGCCTGTCAATTCGTCATTCTTCACGCACCAACTGCAACTGCGCGAGGCGAACTCTCCGACTGAGGTCTAGCCCGATTCGAGGTGAGCACTGGCCATATGATCACTTAGAAATTTTTTTTCTTGATGCTAATGCTACCTGAACTAGAAGTGAAACAGTAGATGAGATACATGTGTATGAAATAGCTCTTGTAGCTGACATAGACTTGGAATATCAACACCTACTACAGTAGATTCCCTATCTCATTAAATGTAGTGGATTCACTAAAAATGTAATTTTGGGCGATGCCTGCACACGCGGCGTGCTCCCAAAATATTTTAGCAGTAAATTAAGGACCATAAGTAAAAAAAGACACAAATTATTTGTCTAATTACTATTTACTTGCATAAGAATATTTACGTTTTACAATACAACTCTAAATTAGGGAAATGGCGATATGAAAAGTCACTGGTCCAATGTTAAATATGTATAGGTTTAAGGCATTAAAGTGGAAAATAATGGCAAATTAGTACAGAATAAATGCAAATACAAAATTTGTATAAGTTAAGTTGTTTCTATTAACATTTAAACTTGCATTCAAGGTGTCAGAAATAGGTGTGGTCACCTTAACCAGATTTTTGTTCCCAATGTTGATACTCAGTAAAAATTTCCGTTTTTAATGCACGATAAGATCCTTGCGGGCTTTGTATTACTTTCTTTAGACAGTTTAAAAAAATCTATGGTAATCCTATCCCGGCTGTTGAGCGGAATAAAAATAGATTGGAGGGCACACACGAATAGGCTGGCTGTTTACTAAAAAGTTAGATTGCGGTTGTACATGTAATTAAATTCAAACCACCTTGTATATATTGAAAGAAATCTCCATTAATTAAAAAACTTTCGATAAGAAATTAAATCTTCAAAAAGCGCTTTAATTAGATATTCTAAGTCGAATTTCTGTGTACCGTACATTTTTTAAAGATGGAGTCAAAGTCAAAGTAGGATATTTTGACCAGGTTGTAGACTTTTCCAAAAATTAGAGATAAATATTCTGTTGGAAATGAAAGAAATTACATTTCTATGTAAACTGGATCAGTTCCAATATGTTCTTACACTTCAGGCCGCCGTTGTTTGATTTCAAATGCACAACAGAGTGCTCAAATTAACGTTCGATATTTTTAAAATGATAATCTCTTGCCTGTTCCGTTCCACGTTTTCATATTCATTGATTTTTTTCTATATTTTGACAAACTTTGGACGGAGTTACTTAACAGTATTACTGAGATAACTAATGAAATTTCGTGTTATTTCATGTACAGTCAAATAGGCTCAGTAACTTCGGCGCACTAAGACATATTTTGGTCTCTTTTAAGTTTATTTATTATCTTTAGGGCACCAATCGTAACAAATTTGCAAGAATTTTTTTAACTGAATTCACGTTTCTTTTCCAGACAATAATGCTCAATCTTATGCGTACACTTACCTCAATTTCATGGACCCAAAAAAATTTTCCGTTTTGTGGACAGATATAATTTTAAAGGTTCCAGCTCTTTATGAATATTCTTTTATGGTGCAACATGCACAAGCAAGTTCTTTTCCATAGACTTTTGTAGCGTAGGAAATGCCTTGGATATCAAAAAAGGCTGGCTTTCGCCCATTTCGGCCTCTATTTTCTTCCAGTATACTGATTATTATGGAATTCAATTCCAGCAGACAGCATTTTGCGCCTAAAGCCAACCCAATGAACTAAATAAACAACAGCAAATGTGTGTTAATTCCCCTAATCTCCAACCTTTCATCAGATATGTAATCTACTGTAATTTCTGCACCCCACGACACAATTTTCTTATTCCTGTGAACTGTTCTGATTTTTAAACTCACCCCATCATATGTTTTTTTGTCACAGCCTTACATGATGGCGCCAACGTGTCTTCTCCTGCTTCTGCTGTTCCTGGGTAAGTTGGGCTTACAGCCATTTGCAATGATGCATAACCCCTGTGGGTCATATCGTCCAGTTTATGTGAACACCTGTGTTTCTTTGTTTCTTCTTGTAGGACACTCCCAAGCCGCTAAAGTTACAGTCAAGCCCGCTGAGCGCACAACAGCGGGATTGGTCTTTCCAATTGAAGCTGATTTCGCCATCAAGGTAGGAAAAGTATTTTTGTGTTTCACAGGTTGCTCACTAGACTGTCAAGGATGGCGAGACTGCACTTGAAGTTTGTGCGGATACGCCTGTTGCACCGTGCATTACAAACAAAGGTAACGTTTGTACAGTAGGGTATTTATAAAGCATCCAACAAACACCCTTTATACCTGCCCTGTAATAACAAACAACGGTCGTATCTGCATTTCAGTGGCCACTACAGTGAACTTTGCTGTCGTGCCCGCGGCATCGTCCACAGCAGTGCAGATTAATGGGCTGTATGGTGGCCCCAAGCCCATCACAATTGCTGGATTACCAACAGGCGACGCGGAAATCTTCGGGACTTCGAGCAAAATTACTGGGAAGGCTGCCAAACTTGACTTTTTGCCAACTGTG